GTAACCATGTAACCTGTTACTATTATGTTAAATATTACAGGTGTATGAATTTATACAATTATGGCTAAGATCCAATGAGGACCGAAATGCACTCCACTAATCACTAATAAAACTATTTTCTCAATATGATCTCAATTACTTAAACTCCATTGCAGTTTGATAAGTCTCATATCTCTACCATCTGTTAATTGAAATCATTATTAAATTGGTTTAATTATATTCGCTAATAGCAAATTCTATTGGTTTATTTGTTTAGAATTCCACGAAACATCTTATGGTGACGACCAACAAAGTTTTCCAGTCTCAAAGATTTGGAGCATCTTTCGGAGTAACTCGAAGGAGAATAAAAAATATGTTTGGGGAATGCCCAAAAGAATGACCAAAGTTTTTGAAAAAGAAAGCAGAGCAACATTCAGGAAGATGACAGGAATCAATTTTCATTGCAAGAAGGTAGAACCTTTATGGTCGAAATTAATTAGAAGGTTTCATAGAGTACAGAAAACGTTAAAATGCAGTCTCCCTTGGGTGGATTGTACCGAAAAACCTAAAACTTTAAAAGAAATATTTATGAAAGCGGCTTGTCAGAAAGTGAAGCCAATAGTAAGAGCCACTAAAATTTTTCTACGAAAGCTTCTTCCATGTGAAAATTAATATAAAATACTGTAAATCGATATTTTCTTTCAAAATTTCTGTTATTTTTTATATAATAAGTTCGATATACAAATATATTGTATTTGATAGTTAGATTTAATTACTGTATTTACGTTAATATTGTGATTGTTTGAATTTTAATCAGAGAGAATACCAATTAGCATGTGACATTTCTTTTTGTATGTAAAATAAAGAAATAAATGAATAATCTCGTGTTGATACGAATTTATTTAGTTATTGTATGTACATTTCAGTTATTATTTATTCAGTTATTCAGCTTGGATTCCAATCTAAATACCTCTACAAAAATAATTGATGAAAAAGAATTTCAATTGGGGCCGTGAAATTAATCCTGGATTCATAAATGATAAATAATGTGGAAAAATTTTCAGGGATATGTATGTACTGTATTTATTTCTATGTGTGGTTGTTGACATCTATTTCGTTTAATATTTCAGGATTGGGTAATGATTAAGAAACGAAATTACGCACGAAATTTCATAGTTTGTGCATAAGGAGAATTAATTCTATCAAAGTTTGGTAATTAAAGGTCGAGGGATGAAACGATGTCAGGTGTCCCACAAAGGTCGAACTTAATAAAAACTTTATTCGTTATTAGGATTTATAATTTTAAGAAACCTGATCTGTACAATTAAAATTAAGCTTCTTGTCATTTTGTACTGATGAATAATATAAAAATTTTTATAACAAAATTTCGTAAAAGATGGCGCCACACGCGATTTTATTTATTATGATCAATAATATAAAAGTTATTTTTTTATAAAAAAAGCAAATAACAGTGAGGAAAGTTGGGCAACTTGTTGCAAAAGTTATGAAAACATAAAATGTTTCCTTGTAAGATATTTTTCTATGGAATAATATTAAAAACAGTATATATAAATCTTAAAAAAAACAAACGTAACAAATTTCTTATCTCAGTCATATTGAAGTATGTAAACAGGCTTACAAACAATTTTGTAGTTCAGAATGTATACAATTCATTAGAATTATTATCTGTTATTAATCTTGATGATGTTGGACAGATTTTTTTCTAATAAATTTGCCTAATTTCTCTAATTTAAAATACCAATCCTGCAATTTGCATGCGGCTACGTGCATTCCTAATTAGTGTTGCATTTCACTTTTGAGGAGTTTATATTAGATTTTCTGAAAATGCATGAAATCTATCGTACTAAATCTTTTATTGAATATGCCGCTGATATTTTTTTCTTTGTATAAACTCGGTCTCTAGTCTAATTAAATTTATTGTGGTTAACTTTGACTCTTTTATTCGTCAGATACAATAGGAAAATTTTTACATTATTAAAGAGAACTCGTATTGACATGTATTGTTTCCAGAATTATTCGAATTTAAATGTCTATGGTAGATTTGCAGAAGAAACCTTCTTGGATGCTGATGAAATTATCGTACATCTGAAAAGAAGAAGAATATTTTAACGTGTAATTGTCTCATTATACAAGGCATTTAGAATTTAGACTGACGGTACTAATACACTCGTGCAAACATCCTACAGAACTGAATCGAACGAAACTCGTTACATCCTCAAAGTGTGTCACGATAAAGAAATTTATAAGGAAAATAATAACATAAGTTTTCACCACCAGGGAAAAATTTAGCGCTACAAGGTTAACAGTAATAAGAAAGTAAACATAATTTTATTAGAAGAATGAAATTACATTTTACACATTTACGCAATGTGCTCAATGTAGGATGATCAGGTGATAGAATAATAAAAGCATCTAAAAATGGAAATTCCTACTATAAGTATATACGGTATTCCGTGTGAAGGAAGTGCTATACATTGATGTTGTACATAAACCTCGTTTTTCCTCAAAATGTGCTATACAGCGTTGTTCTGAGGGTACTTAGAACAACGCGGAATTGTCACAGAATCTACGAGAAAAGTCGCACTATGCTAGTCTTCAGCTCCGATGCCGAGTGCACATGCCTCTAATATAGCGTTTTTTTACCTGTTGGTCGCGACCCCCAAGGGGATCGCAAAGCCTTACACAGGATTTCGCACCTAAAAGAAAAAGACAAGTGTTTGTCGGTCCTACACTACAATAAAAAATACGGTTTCAATGAGAAGGCTATGCCTGTTTATTTTTTAATAATTTGTCGAAACGTGGTTCTATTTTTGAGACGCAAATAATTAAATGATTATCTAATTGAAGCCTATTTCTCTTTTTACTTTTTATATCGACCATTGAAGAGAACGTTAATTCACATAGGTAAGAAGTGGCGAATGGCACTAATAGCCTCCCTTGCCAGTTCTGAATACATTTGTTTTTTTTTTTTTTTCATCTAGAAGACGTCAATATTTCTGAATGAAATTCCATTTTAAGCATATCGTCCGCAGCTAAATCTATAAGATTTTTTTTATCTTCGTGGTTAGATCAGCCAGTTGTACTGACATATCGATGAAAGGATTTAGTATCCATCTATGCTCATTGTCAACTTCAGAGTCCAGTTTTGCAAAGTAAGTTAATAGTTCTTCTTTCAAATTATGCAAGCTCCGTAACATGCAAGGAATGTGAGAACTTACTACCAACAATTGATCCATCGCAGTTTCTTCGACCCCCAATTGTTCTCTTGAGTTCCGTCGAAACATTTTAAAATTCCACTGACTCCAAGAAGTTTATAGCGATCCTGTCGATAATCGTCGCTCTACATGAACAATATTTATTTTGTTTTTATTTGTCTATTTACATTATTTACAGTAATTCACTTAATGCGTAACATTCGTTAAACGAAACAATTTTTTTGATATAAATTAATGTAAAACACGATAATGCGCTCCAAGCCGAAAAAATACTCAAATATTTTATGTATAACGTTTATTCAAAGAAAATTATACAATATACATAGTGAAGGAGAGTGAATCATTATCATCTTCTCTTTAGCGCGGAATGAACAAACTTGAAATACGAATTCACTTCGCAGAAAATAATAAAAAAAAGCGAAAAACATGTTTAACTAGCGTACACTCACTCAGCACTTGTATGTAAATCCAAAAAACACAACACCTTAATTTGCTGAGAAAAATTAATTAAATCGTTTGGCTGTTTATTAAACATGTTTAATAAACAGCCAAACGATATGCCAAATTTTGAGCTATGTAAAAGCTATAATTATATCCTTTATTCTTCACTCGTTACGCGAAACGTCGCTCGTTAAGCGAGTCGTTTTTATAATTTGTTTTGCTCGTTATGCGAATTACTCGTTATGAAAGGGGCTTATTAAGCGAGGTTCCATTGTACAAGCTAACACATACGCATACCCAAATATTTTTCTTGTGTTTTTCGCTTTGTTTTGGACTCAAATGCTCTAAAATCGTGGGAATTCGCAAAAATCCAGAAGGTTAAATTTGTCGCGATTCCAGTACTTTCTCTTGTTATGTATACTTAACAGCGAGAGAAGTAAAACTAACGTCAAACTTTGATTCTTCAATCGAAACATCGAATACAGGAATTGAGTTTTCGCAGTTGTTGCGCGCGACATCGCTTACCTCAAAATCGTGGCGATATAATTTAAAAGAAGTTCGAATCGGCAACGTCCCAATTTCAGTAGTAAATGTTCTCGTATCGTGTCAATATAAGTGTTACCGGATCGCGTATGCGATAAGCGTAAAGGTATGCAAATTTTATCGCCTGCCACGTCTACCATTGACTTACGTCAATTTCCTCATCGCTAGCGATTCGCGATCAAAGATTGCATATGTTTCTCTTATACATTTATAATTAATTATTTTGTTTTCTTCATCTAGGGCAGGGGTGGCCAAAACGTGGCGCATGCGCCAAACTTGGCGCATTGGACGATTGCAAATGGCGCTTTAGTCGGTTTTGAGCAACATTGCCAGATTTGGCTTCATTACAGTACTGTACACCACTAATGTCATATAGAACTATGTTATACGGGTAGCTACACTACAACCGCATTTTTGATTGCTTGTTCTGTGGCAAAACTGAATTTTCGTCTTCTGAATTGAAATACCTAATTAAGAGTTGGCCGAAATTTCTCTCCGCTCCGGGCTGCTAAAACTCACGGTACGCCACTGCGCATCTGATCTCGTCTATCAAAAAATTGGCGCATGGTATGCAAAAGGTTGGCCACCCCTGATCTAGGGTGTTATTTCGCACGAAATCACATTTATGTCGCATCACAATTATGCATGGAGGGAGTAGCGTGGGATTGTTTACAATCTATCGCTTCTCGCTTCATTTATCCTAATACATTGCTTCGTGTAGTCGCTACTCGTCTATAGACGTATATTTTTATTACGTAAGCAGATTTCATATATCTGTCTTCACTGACAACCACTCGTCGCTTCGTTTCCTGACCGCAAAATCGCCGTATATTTAGGAAATAATTTACAAAATTTAATAATAGTGTAATACTTTTACATGACTTTTTAAAAGTGCACCGTACAACTAACGTGTTGCTAGTGGCCAGGGCATGCCCTTTAAAAACTCGTGTTTTCTAATTTCTTCTTCGTTTCTCGAACCCAATCGCTTTTTAACATCCTAAAAAGCAATAAAATTAGCAATTTATAAGCGAGGGGAAGGTTGAACTATTATACAGTTTACTTTATCTCACTTACTTTCTGCAGGAGTTGCGTGATGAAAGATTTCGCTTCTTGGGATAAATCTAGAGGAAATATTGAACTTGGATCTAAACTGTCTAGAAATACAGAGGAAAATCACTACTTTTAATCATTACAAAGTATATTACTGTATTTATCAGAAAGAAAACCTTCAGATGATCTAAATACTCACCTGTAACCTTAATAGTTTGGCACATGATTGTAGAGGTAGATGGACTGTTTAACCCTTGCAGATAGATATCAATTGGGGTTTTTCCTACCAACATCATATAAACTAATACACCGAAGGACCACCAATCTACAGATTTATCTGAAATTTTATATAAAACAAAAATTAATTCGAAAATCTGATATTTTGTTATCACTTTTGAGTACGACTTCCTCTATTTTTGTTAATCAGAAACTACACCGGTATAGTAAAACAAGGTCCAAGTAGGCAATATAGAAACAAATATGGCTATATGCAGTATTTGATATAAAATCCAGCAACGNTACTGTAAGTCAAATACAGTAGTGTAATTTTATACATTTCTTGTGAAAGGAACATTTCTTATTTAACGGCGATTAAAATTATTTATAAATAAGGCAATGGAAAAGCCTTGATTTTTGGTTTATCTGGATCCTCATTTTGTAATTTTCTTATCAGTCGTGACACAAATCCTGCAATTTTATTGTTCACTTTCACGCAAAAACATAGTTCAGCTCCCACCTTTCTTGAAATTTTCTTCCCTCCTCATTAATCTTTCGTTTTTTATTTAGAGTTGAAAGTGACATTTTCTGTATTAAAAGTAGGGTTTAAATTTAGATTTTTAAACTTCAAATAACTGCAACTACATATACACACATTTTTTGAATAATTTATAAAAGAAAACAACACATAAATCTTAAATTAAAAAGAAACTAGCGCAAAAGCCATTTGTTAAAGTTCAAGAAATATACAATTACCCATCTCGACTGTGGCGTCAGCCGTATACGGCTCTGTAAACGAAAAGAAAACTTTTTAGCGAGTTTTGAAGCTTGGCATCTCTAGATTGAAATGGGCTTGAAGTTACTGGTGAGGCGCGTAACCGTGGCCTAGTCTCCCACGGTTGACCCGACGGTTACTTGCTATTGCATCCCGATGCTTTCTACATCTTCTCTGGACGTTCATCTGTCTAACACCAGTCTCGAAATTAAGGAAGGACAGTCAAACGGATGAAAGTAAAAATTTATAGGTGTACACTTTTCCAAATTGCAACTCAATCACGACGTTTGTAGTTGAAAACCTCCCAAAAAAATTTAAGTTTGTTTTTTGTTGTTTGTACAAGGCAACGCAACTCGCAACGGATCTCCTAAAGGGATGCTTCCAGAAGGAACTTTGTATCGGAATCTGGTTCTTATTTAGGTGTAGAAACGTAAAGAAAACTCGGAAAACTCCACGTGATTAACTGAAATAACATTCTTCTGACGTTTAAAGGAATAGTTATAATATAATAATGTTAGTGAGAGTGTTTAAACACAAACGTATTGTTAATAGGCTGCAGTTTTTGAATTGCACGAGTATACATTTCTATTGTCTGTCCATCTGTCCTTAGTTAATGTCGAGAACAGAGTTAAATACATGAAAATCAAGACCAGACATGAAAAGCTTAAACAACGGGGCTCAATTATGTACATGCGAACTTCCGGTGTGAATCGGAAATCACGTAATTTTTTTTTAAATTAAGGATTTGAAAAAGACGAATAAAAATTGCAGCCTGTTATTGTGTCGATATGACAATAAACAATTGCTAAAATTTTATTTTAAACAGTTATAACCCTTGCCTGTGTAATCCACGTACAACCGTGTACGAAGTTAAAATTGCAATAATGTGGTGAAATATTTTTGCAAAATTCATATTGCATAAGCATATATTCGTGTTATTATTTTACTCTCTTATTAAAAGATCTTTAATATGAAAGTGAAATAAGTTTTGTATTTATTAAATTCTACTTCCTTTATAGTCCTCATTTAATGTAAAAAATTTATCAATTTTTTGAAGTTATATGTGTAACTGCTTTGTTTTATAAATGTGCTTATTTATTACTGTTACTTTTTTTGTAATTCATACCTTTTTTTGTTATTATCTTCATAGATGTACAGCAATTCCGTATCAGCGAATATAAATTTAAAATGGACAAACTGAAGAGTATTTACAGTTCTTAATTTTTCTAAGATAATTTCATCAAATCTAATACACAAAAATAATCTATTTCTACTTATTAGTATTTTTTAATATAATGGGTTTCCCAGCGAAATCTCTGCAGCGTAGCGAAACAACCTTGGCAACATGGGCGCGATCAACATTATCCTGCAACGGAATGATGCCGTCCGTAAACATTCCTGGACGTTAGGACTTTATGGCGCGCTTCAACTTTCTCTGGGAAGCCTTTACACATCCTCCATACAGTCCCGATCTCTCCCCGTGCGATTTTCATATTTCTGGAGCTCTGAAGAAAGACATTCGTGGCCGTTGATTTCCTTCGAATGAAGAGGAGCACGCCTGGGTACAATCGTGGTTCCGTAGGCAACCACGAACATTATTCCACGAAGGCATTGACCACCTTTTCTCACAGTGGGATAAATATATTAACAGTTATGGCCATTACTTTTGAAATAATAAACAGTTTACTTACTTTTTTCCCATCTGTCTCCTTTTCATTTGACTTCTCCTTATATTACCGGATAGTGTATGCGATAAGCGTAAAGGCATGCAAATTTTATCGCTTTGCACGTCACCATTGATTGATTAATGAATTAATTATTATGATTTCTTTATCTAGGGTATTATTTGGCACAAAATCACAGTTATGTCGCATCACAATTATGCATAGAGCAAGTTCCATGGGATTGTTTACAATCTAACACTTCTCTCTTTATTAAGCTTAATACATGTCTTCGTATAATCGATACTCTTCTATAGATGTATATTTTTATTACGTAAGCAGTTTTCATATAACTGTCTTCACTGGCAACCACTCGTCGCTTCGTTTCCTGACCGCAAAATCGCCGTGTATTTAAGAAATAATTTAAAAATTTAATAATAATTTCGATCCTTTGCTGATATTGTAATTATGCTCTTTCAATCTGACTCCCAAATTTCTATTAGTGACACCAAATATAATTTTTCTTGATGTCTAGTTCTAAGTTTTCGTATCAGATCTTGTTTACTCCTGCTATTTTTTCTTTCTCGATCTTGTCTTTATCATTCCTTAAATCTCTGTCTGCAGCCTTTGCTCTGTTTATTTTGTAGCTTCTGATCAGTGCTGTTATCATATTCTCATTGTATCATAGCGTTCTAGCGATCTGAGTTATCCTATTGATTTCTTTCTGTCTATCTGTTATACTACTGCAATAGAGAAAGGCTCTTCTAATAAAGGCACAAAAGGCAGCCTCTTTATTGAAAGCCAGGTTTCGTCTAGCGTGTTTTCGTAAATCCATAAGAATAGCGAATAATAAAAAATATGTAATTTTGCAATGGAATCTCAAAATTAAGCTTTCTGCCATTCTATAGTAATTAAACATATAAAAAGATTTTAATAACAGATGGCGAAACATACGCAGTTGCTGGGAAAGTTAAGCAATTCGTTGCACTGAGATGTTTGAATTGTACGAATGTTCTATTGATTTAGAACAGGGGTGGCCAAGACGTGGCGCATGCGCCAAACTTGGCGCATTGGACGATTACAAGTGCCGCTTCAGTTTGATCTGAGCAAAATTGCCAGATTTGGCTTTTTGCCAATAAAAAAAATAAAAAAAAAAAAAAAATTTTTATAGTCTGTCTTGGCAAGTTCATTTGTTGCACAATTCGTTACAGTCTATTTTTCAAATAAAATGAATGTTCTCCACATAGTAAATTACAGTGTATGCATGTATTGTGAGTCTTGCGATCTTTATTTCCGATCAGTTTACAGGCGTGTAAATGGTTGAAAACATTTATTGTGATTAAAGTTATTCCAAGCTGATTTTCAGTGCCAATAATTGTGGTGCAGAGTAATCTTCACCAAACGAGACTCTGGCAGCTATAGCACCATCATCAAGCAATCACCCTCTCATACAGGAGATTATTGGTGACTATTGTAAATTGGTGCTTCAATAAACTGTCATAAATTAATTAATTCAACTGCGTGATTAAGTTATTCCCTTTTCTCTCCTAAGCGAAGCAGATATATTCTTATCTCTATTTATCAACCCCTAACATTGAACGTAAGACTGTATAAAAAGTGTTCGATTTATATGGCGCATCTGAACTCGTCTGTCAGAAAATTAGCGCATTGTATGCAGAAGGTTGGCCACCCCTGATTTAGAACATTCTTTCCGTCATTTTAATTTAAATTATTTCCGTTACGTTTAATGTCTTACGAATGTTCTTCTTGTTCTTTTTTCATTTAAGTTCGGTATTTTAGTTAAAAGTTTGTTTTGATACTGTATTTTTTTTCGAAAAAATGGCGTTAATCAGAGTCTTGACATTTCTTTTCGTTTTCATTTTCACTTTTCTTTTCGGGTGGATGACTTTTGAAATTTTTAAAGGTACATTTTATATTTTACTTCGTTAATTTGGTTTAATTATAATTGTAAACTTCTTCCTCTAAAACAATAATTTACTAATTATCTTAATAAACCAGATGATAGAGGTGTCATACGAGGACTGTCTGATTGAACTGTAGGTAGAAATTGTGATGGAATGGAAGTACGAACAGTTACAGTGTAACTATGTAACCTGTTACTATTATGTTAAATATTGCAGGTATATGAATTTATATAATTATAGCTAAGGAAGATCCATTGAGGACCGAAATGCACTCCATTAACCACTAATAAAAGTATTTTCTCAATATGATCTCGATTATTTAGGCTCCATTGCAGTTTGATAAGTCTCATCTGGTTAATTGAAATAATTATTAAAGTTTTTTAATTATATTTGTTAATAGCAAATTCTATTGGTTTATTTATTTAGAATCCCACGAAACATCTTACGGTGACGACCAACAAAGTTTTCCAGTCTCAAAGATTTGGAGCATCTTTCGGAGTAACTCGAAGGAGAATAAAAAATATGTTTGGGGAATGCCCAAAAGAATGACCAAAGTTTTTGAAAAAGAAAGCAGAGCAACATTCAGGAAGATGACAGGAATCAATTTTCATTGCAAGAAGGTAGAACCTTTATGGTCGAAATTAATTAGAAGGTTTCATAGAGTACAGAAAACGTTAAAATGCAGTCTCCCTTGGGTGGATTGTACCGAAAAACCTAAAACTTTAAAAGAAATATTTATGAAAGCGGCTTGTCAGAAAGTGAAGCCAATAGTAAAAGCCACTAAAATTTTTCTACGAAAGCTTCTTCCATGTGAAAATTAATATAAAATACTGTAAATCGATATTTTCTTTCAAAATTTCTGTTATTTTTTATATAATAAGTTCGATATACAAATATATTGTATTTGATAGTTAGATTTAATTACTGTATTTACGTTAATATTGTGATTGTTTNATTAAATCTAATATAACAGAGTTAATTATATTGAACTTGCTTATTTATTAAGTGCGTTAGATAATCTATTAATTAAAAATACATTTAAAGAAGTCTACGGTTTTTACTGGCTTATCGAACAAACGAATACGAATGGACCCTAGACCATTGCTGACTGATTGCCCCTGGAAGTCGGCTTTTTATAGAAACACAGCTTCCCTATCATCAAATGTCACGGCACGCCACTGGAAAAGAGGATCAGAAAGGAAACAATATAACGTATAAACTACTACGGATTTGTTTGAAAAATTATATATTAAACTTAAAAATACAAACCTAATGTGAATTTTCAGCTCCAACATTTCTGGCAAATACAGAAACAGAGTAACGCTTCCGTATAAACAAAATTATTTATTATTTATACGGAATCTAAATAAACTACAAAAAAAGAAAGTCAATAGTAGAATCCGATCAAATAATAATTAAAATTTGTCTCCAATAACTTGCAGCAGGGATGTGCTATCCGATCCAGAACTATCATTGTGAAAACAGGAAAGTTTATTATGCGCCAATTGAGTTTTTCGGAAATCAGAAATCGATGCAAGGAAATGGATTTTCCGACGCTATATTACTAATGAATTAATATAATATTAAAATAATAAATTACCAATTTTAGAATGGTGTGAAACCCTTCGCATCTATAATCCATCATACAGATGTTGCCTCGTCAACAAACATCTGGTTTACTCTCCGTTGTTCCCACCAGTCAGCATACAAATGACGTGCGGATCGTGTAGTGTATATTAACTGTGAGAATTACAGAAAATTCACGTGATTATATTCCGGCTTGGTACGGCGAAATCGATCAAGTGGATATCCAGCTTAAGAGATTTGAGTTGTGTTTCCGATATTTTCTGCAAATTTAATATATTAAGGTGTACACCACGTTATGCCGCGTGCCCATAATTGCGAGAAGTAGAAATACAGATTTTTTCTCAGAGAGAGGTGACACCGTCATTGATCGATCTAAGCAGGATCTAAGACAGCACTTTGCATGCCTTATTAAAAAAGAAGGTTCAATTTGGATAAACCGGAATCCGTTCGGTGCTCTAATAATATTTTAAATAATGCCGGCCCTCAAACCATATAAAGATTATTAAAGGGCCAAAATCCTTTCAGCTCCTTACATTTGGTGTCCTTTTATCAGGCATAGCCTACGTACAGAAACACGTACGAGAATTGAACGGACGATGGTTCCGTTTGGTTTTCGAATGGACCATGGCTCCGTTTGATTTCGGGAACCTTTCGTTTGGTGGGAAAACTATTTTGTTGTATTTTCAGTTCGAATGAACTGAACTATTTATCAGGAAATTCCGTATAAAAAACTGATTCTATGAAGTCCTCTGATAGGCGGCAATGATTGGAAGTTTCAACATATAACACAACCGAGTCAGCGCATCCACCCACGGAAAGATTGTAAAAACCACGTTGGTAAAAATGATATTACAGCGTGTTTGCGACGCGGTTGTATTTCAAATGCACAGTGACGTCATTTTTTAAAAAAATCTTTTCGAATGTTTTGCTAATTTCTTACTAATTAATTTATAATTTTAATTTTCCAAACATAATACTATACCAGGGGTGGCCAAAACGTGGCGCATGCGCCAAACTTGGCGCATTGGACGATTGCAAATGGCGCTTTAGTCGGTTCTGAGCAACATTGCCAGATTTGGCTTCATTGCAGTACTGTACACCACTAATGTCATATAGAACTATTTTATACGGGTAGCTACACTACAACCGCATTTTTGATTGCTTGTTCTGTGGCAAAACTGAATTTTCGTCTTCTGAATTGAAATACCTAATTAAGAGTTGGCCGAAATTTCTCTCCGCCCCGGGCTGCTAAAACTCACGGTACGCCACTGCGCATCTGATCTCGTCTATCAAAAAATTGGCGCATGGTATGCAAAAGGTTGGCCACCCCTGATCTAGGGTGTTATTTCGCACGAAATCACATTTATGTCGCATCACAATTATGCATGGAGGGAGTAGCGTGGGATTGTTTACAATCTATCGCTTCTCGCTTCATTTATCCTAATACATTGCTTCGTGTAGTCGCTACTCGTCTATATACGTATATTTTTATTACGTAAGCAGATTTCATATATCTGTCTTCACTGACAACCACTCGTCGCTTCGTTTCCTGACCGCAAAATCGCCGTATATTTAGGAAATAATTTACAAAATTTAATAATAGTGTAATACTTTTACATGACTTTTTAAAATTGCACCGTACAACTAACGTGTTGCTAGTGGCCAGGGAATGCCCTTTAAAAACTCGTGTTTTCTAATTTCTTCTTCGTTTCTCGAACCCAATCGCTTTTTAACATCCTAAAAAGCAATAAAATTAGCAATTTATAAGCGAGGGGAAGGTTGAACTATTATACAGTTTACTTTATCTCACTTACTTTCTGCAGGAGTTGCGTGATGAAAGATTTCGCTTCTTGGGATAAATCTAGAGGAAATATTGAACTTGGATCTAAACTGTCTAGAAATACAGAGGAAAATCACTACTTTTAATCATTACAAAGTATATTACTGTATTTATCAGAAAGAAAACTTTCAGATGATCTAAATACTCACCTGTAACCTTAATAGTTTGGCACATGATTGTAGAGGTAGATGGACTGTTTAACCCTTGCAGATAGATATCAATTGGGGTTTTTCCTACCAACATCATATAAACTAATACACCGAAGGACCACCAATCTACAGATTTATCTGAAATTTTATATAAAACAAAAATTAATTCGAAAATCTGATATTTTGTTATCACTTTTGAGTACGACTTCCTCTATTTTTGTTAATCAGAAACTACACCGGTATAGTAAAACAAGGTCCAAGTAGGCAATATAGAAACAAATATGGCTATATGCAGTATTTGATATAAAATCCAGCAACAAGTTGCGTAACTTTCCGAGCAAAAGTTAAAATTATCTATGGCGCCATCAGTTACGAGATTTTATCTAAAAAAAAACTTTTTACAGAATATTATAAATTATAATAAAATGGCAAAAAGCTTAATTTTGAGGCCAGAGATGAGCTTTATAAAAAAATTTTTAATTGTTTCAATATGTGAAATCTTAATTAAGTCAGACCCCACTCGACATACGATACGTGCTTCCCTCTATCTCCCAAGTCCCTGTTCCTATAACCATCAAAATTTAATATCATCAATAACTCTAACATACAAATTTGTCTACAATATTTCAGAAATTTTCCACAAAAGGCACTGAAGTTATGAAACTAAAAAGTAGACGAATTAAATTGTGCTCCAAAGACAAACACACACAAACACTTCTGTCTGTTATATTATATAATAGCCAGAAAGTAATACAGTACTAAATACAGTACATTTACATAACGGTATTATGTTAAACTACATTAAGACATTGCCAAATTTACCAATCCATTATATATTAAATGCTAAAAACACACTTACGATCTTACCATATTTTTCGTGTTTTAAAACTTCCGGTGCCATATACACGGGTGTGCCACATAAAGTACACGATTCTAGTTTTAACTGAAATGATAAAAAAGTTCATATAAACAAATTATGCCATCGCGCGAAATACGCGAATCCTTAATGTAATTAATTAAAATCTCACTGTGCAAAGGCCAAAATCCGTCAATAATGCATTTCCATCTTGTGATAACAGGATATTTTTTGCACCGATATCGCGGTGTATAATACCTGAATCAAAACGAATTTTAAAACAAGAATTATGTATAACGTGTGTTCAACTATGTTTACCTTTACTATGTATATATTGGATAGCAGAACCAAGTTGAGAAGTGAGTATTTTGGTCACATATTCTCCTAGAGGACCGTTCTTTGTGACGAACCTGTACAGATTGCCGCCGGGAATATAATCAGATATGAAGTTGAAACTATGATGAAATAAGTTATAAAGGATTACTTTTATGTTATACTTTACATGCGTAAGGCCATTGTATATCTTAGTGTGTCTCAAAAGTCTAGTCTCATAGTGGTTATGTTTAATGTTTGTTTATTCTGAGTAAGAAGAAATTCGAATTGTTTTAACTCCTACGGGGCCAGACTTATGGGGCACTTTGTATAGTTAAATATAATTAACTATCGAACCTATCTGTAGTTTCAAAATATGTTCTGAACGTAACAATATGTGGATGACGACAGGCCATCTTCCACCCTCTTCTCTCTCTCTGCACACATATCGGCTATAGTTAAAATAAACATAACTGTTTTCAAAATTTGCATACATATGTATAAATTATTACTTGTAACATCAACTTGCATTTGAAACTTGGTAATGTTGTTTAAATAAAACTTTAAGAGCAGCTTTTTCTGAAGTTTCTTTATGTTGAATCAGGAATATTTCACCGAAATTGCCTTTATCGAGTCGTTGCAAACAAACGAAATTTTCAGGACACCATTTTGATTCGTCTTCATTTTCAATATTCTGGATATAAATAAGATTATCATCGTTGGATTCATGGAATAAAGCAATGCAACAGGAGAGATCTTTTAAGGGGATGCCTCCCGGAAGAACTTTTTATGAAAATCTAGTCCCTATTTGAGAGTTAAACAGGCGAAGAAAACCCGGAAAATTTCAAGTCGCCATTCCATTGGCGAGGCGGAAACCCGCACCCACTGGTGGCACATAACATGTGTCACTAGTGGCACATAACACGGCTTAATGTTGAAAGTTTAGCTCACTAAGCCACCGGTGGACACTGTTTAAAAGAATAGCATACTAGACTTTTTTTGTAGACTTACTATTGATAAAATTAAACCAAACGGATATGCACACTTACATCTTTATACAAAGAAGAATCTTCATTTTCAGAGTTATATTTCCTAAAAATTTATGTATAAAACATAAAATAAACTTACTAAAAACTTTAAAAATTATTAAATTGACTCTTACAATTTTATACAAGCATTTAGACGTAAAAAAGAAAGTAAATTGTACAATATTCGTTTAGGTTTCATAATTAGAATTGAAGAAATGCGTATTAACAATATACGTTACTACTTCATTATTTCATTTCAGTCGGCATTGTTACGTATTAAAAATGTTTAAAATGGTGAAATTTTTATAGTTTTTTTGATGAAAAATGTAAATATATACAATTTTACGTTTTAATATGAAAGATTCAAAATGTAATAGGCCAAGAATTGGCCGAGAGATAAAACCACTAAACACTGGGAATTGATCGCAGATTCGCGCCTCATTAATGGGCTAAGTATTTCGTGTATTTTATACTTAGCGGCATATAAATAACTGACTAATTCCATAAAAAGTTTTGCTATGAGACATCTTGCCCATGGTAGATCACCCATGTGTTGCGTTGGTATATCACAACAATCCCATCCAATTCAATTAGCCATTTACCTCTCATAATCTATATATATATATATATATATAAATGGACATGTATGTCCCTATATCTCACGTTTTCGCCAAAACTTCACATAGCACGTGAATGGTGTTTGTATGTGGTGGTAGCCCCAAGTCTCCATTCGTGCATAGGCGTGGTTGCGTCTCGATAGCTATAAGGGTGCGGGAGATATGAGGCTAAAAGTAGTTGAAAGTGGCTTTCTATTTCGAATGTTTTGTTCGAATTTGTTCGAATTAAATTCGAACATAAAATTCGAATATTGGTTCGATTATAGAACGATTGTAAACGTTCCAGAAACGTTGAAAATAGTTCGTTTGACTAAACGTAAAAATTCTCTAATTAGTCTGGAAACGGGGGACCTAATTCTTGCATTTTGTGAAAACGGGTAAGATTAGCTATAATGTAATTATCTTAATCTTCACTATCGTTACTTTTTGCCCAGCGAAGCGGGTCCTTGCAGCTAGATTCTAGATTACTTAGAAAAACAGTTTTATATATATATATATATATATATATATATAAAACTATACTATTACATACAAATAAAAACCCAGCGAAGCAGGATCTTGCAGATAGTAATGTATAATAGGTTAATCTTCGCTATCGTTATTTTTTTTGCCCGAGTAACGCCGGACTTGTCTGCTACTATATATATAACTATATCATATTATGTTATGCAGCAGTTACAGTTTGGAAACAGGCATATATACATAATAAATTGATTTTATTATTATATGAGATATTTAATGTGTTGTCCTCGTTAAAACTGGAGAGGTGGAGAAATAGATAGAGATACGTATCATATGTGTATAGTGTGTATAAATCAATTCTTGTTGGTTTGTTGATTTGTCCGTTATACAAATTTTTATTCTTAAACCGATTTGGACCAAAGTTTGTGTGAGTAATACTTAGATCCTAGAAAAGACACTAAGCTGTATACTAGTCCAAAATATTGTGATAGTAAATAGCTTTCTCATCCTTTCATTTAGTGTTATCTGTTGACAAAAATCATAAATACAACCTGATTATCGATTTTTGTATCTCTGATAAGAGATTGCTGGTTTGCTTGCCGACACTTGCTGGGTATTTTAATGCATGCCTAAAGGCATCATCACTGCGGAATCGGGTTTAAAAGTTGTCTTTTTTAACGAATATGATGATCCATTTATTTAGAGACAGATCTGCAGAGGATTTTGCTAAACAACTTATGCGTCTCGGTGATTGCAAATTCACTGTTAATTTGATAACATTTACTATAATACGTAAACCACAAATGGATATACGAGAGAGCAACATTATCATCTAAAAAGAAATATGTTGCCAAACTAATTTCATAGCTAATCACAACGATTAGGGAACTTGAACAACATACAAATGTATTGATTCCATTTTCGAAATAGTAATGTACCCCGTAAGCTTTTTTAACTCATTGAAATTAGCTGGATTACCACACCATAACCTATAGCTTTAGGTTGAATTAACAATAATGTTTTTGAGAAATTTCGACCTTCCAAAGTAGTGAAATGGAACAAAAAAGATCTTTTATCTTAGTCCCGCAAGTCTGTAAAAGTTTTTATTTTTTACACTTTCATTATTATAAATACTCAGGTCAATAAATGCACATTTTACTTACCGGGACCATTGTTTTTATCACCATCTCTTAGTTCCACACCCCTTCAAAAACCAGAGCCAAGGACAAGTCGCTAGTAATTAATAAAGTAAAAAGTGTTTTTATAAGAATATATCATAACAGACGGCGTCACACACGCTATTATTTATCTAAAAAACTGAGAATACTTAAATTAGAGAAAATAATCTATGTGACACAGACAAAATTTATTGAGTTATTAAGTGAAATTTTTATTTTATGTTGTTAAACTTGCAAGATATATTCATATTGATCAAAAAAATTAATAAATTTTCATGAAATCTTTACTGTATTTTTCATCAATTCTGTTGAATTTCCCAAGCTGTAAAAGAAACATTTAACATAATCTGTAAAAGAAATTGGGAAGAAAAAATACAGCAATTTATTATAATTTTATGTTATACTAAAATAAATTTCAGTAGCGCCTTATAGCTTTAAGGGGCCCAGTTAAATTAGAATTAAGGGGTCCCGTATACAGTGTTGATTTCGAACATTTTACTTGGGGGAAATTTTTGAAAGAAATTCCCTAGTATCTTACTGTGTTGGTCCAGTATACTCTGCGCTTGCACCACGCTGGTATCTAGGGTACCCGGATGTGTCCCAAATTTAATATTCGATACTCTTTCTACAGTAATAAGTTTAAAAAATATTGGTTTTTGGCCATGTGTTAGTGGAGGCCTCAGGCAATTGCGCTTTTTGCGTATAAGATAAATCGTTAACGAAAAATTCCGAAAAAACCTCGAATTAATTTTCCAATAAATTCTCATATAATAAATAAAGCATATAAGAAATTCTCATACAGTTAAAACAGATTGATAAACTTTCTTTTACTTTTATTGTAGATTCGGCCAGGCTCTCAATGGCAGGGCTGATAAGTAAAGAAGACATTTGAGACATATCACCCACAAAAAAATACTCAACTTCAAACTTTTTCTACTTGTTTCCAGCGTGATATACATGCTTGTGTGACATTATCAACACTTAGTTTCATGCCAAGAATTCGCATTGAATAATGTAAACAAATATAATTACTAAATATAGAGTTGTTATAATTAAAGTTTTCTTATTCAGAACACTCTGTATCTGTAAATAATAACTGGTTTGGCACCAAAATTTGTACATGGACTATGCGTGCTAGGAAGCAAAAACAGTTAAATTAGAAAGTTCTGCTAGATGAAACTTTACAAGAAAGTATACGAAACAAAACAGTGTAAAAAATGAAAACTGAAGATCAAGTTTAAAGTAACATTTCAATCTGTTATTTTAAGACAATTACGATTAGAGCCAACTATTAATTGTATGTTTATCACCTTCAAATTTTACATCTGAACAATGATGCACACATTGATCAACTTTCCTTAGTTCAGTGAACAGCGCAAGGTCCATTGCGCTACGAATAAAAGCGTTTTCGTGCTGTTTTTGTTCTTTTGTTTTATGTATTTATTCTGTAAAGCGAACGTTTTTCAATTAATTTTTGAATAGTCTGTGCATAAATTTTGATCCCAATCCGCTTACTGGTTACAGATTTAGTGCTGTGAGTAAGGAAACTGATTATGGCCATTCTGTATACACCAATAAAAATCTATAATATATTTACTAGATACAATGGTAATTAAAATAAATTTTACTCACATTTTTTCAAAAATTGAACAATGTGATGAAAATTGAAACTTTCTTTATCTGTGTCAACGTCTTTCCAATGCAGAAGCTGTCCAGATTTAAATAACACTAGCTTACTCTCAGGAGTACATGCATTATTTCCGTCCTTTTCAAGAGTATCATTAGATAAAGATACAATTGACGATGAGCTGGAGTACTTATCAGATTTCTGCCCATTATCTTTCTCGATTTCTTCAACAGTACCTGTTACTGAAGAAGATGACAATTCTAATGATTTTTCACGTTCCTTCTCTTGTGATTTCATAGAAGAGATATAAAGATTGATATCTTGTTTAGCTTGTTCTTTGGTACATTTACCATTAATAATTTGTAATAATTCATCCGAGTCTATGCCAAAACTGACATCACAAATTTTTTTTGTTGGCAGATAATTATCCATTATAATGACTGGGGCATTCTTTTTTCTTTCACGGATACATGCTTTTTCTGCGTGACAATTATTATTTTCAGGATTATTGACAATTAATTTCGATTTTGAAAGTAGTGTATTGTCTATATCTATATTGTAAATGGCAGATTTTTCACCGGTTTTTAACATTGAATCTTTTATTTTTAAATCCGATGATGTATCGGAATTTATGCATTGTTCGTGATTTGAAATCACTTCTGGTTGCACATTAACAGATAATTTACAATTGTCATAATCAATTTCAGATCTTGATGGAACTACTTCTAATGGTTCTTTATGATCTACAAATTGATTCTTGACATTTTCTGAATTTTCGTGTAAGAAAGTAACTGCATGTTTATTCTTATCGATGCTCGAATAAAATGTTGCTCTATATAAATTACTGCAATAAACTTTTGAAGTTGGAGCAATAGACTTACGAGCAATATCGGCATAGGATAGTAGCAATGATGAATCGGGATTCGAGCATGTTTGAAAAGATAAAGGTCCATTAACGGACGAACAATGAGCATAATGTAAATCGAGATCATCTACAGATGATGAAACAACACTAGTTTCTTTACGTTTTGCATAATGACTGTGATGTTGATTTTTGTTCTTATATGCTGCAGCTGAAGTACCATTGTAATATCTGTTTGCATTCGTTTTCTTTAATGGATAACGCTTACAATGCTTTTTCAATACAACTCTAAATTCATTGTCTTCTAAGTTTTCTTGTCCAGGAAAATCGCAATATTCAGGTAAGATTCTACTTTCTGTAGCATGATTACTCTTTGAAACTGTAAAATGCTGATTAGATCCACCTTCTTCAGGCATTGATACTACCTGTACGAATTTTTCTGTTGTATTCTCTTGTGTTCTGTTATCATAACGAATTTTATTTTTCTTCTTGGAATCTGTAGGATTTGATTTCTTTTTATTACAATTCTTAGGAGTTTTCATTTTGTATTTACTGGAATGGCCTTCTTTCTTTCTACAAACTTCGTTATCCATTGAATGTTTACCTGCTAAGCTGCAAATCTGATCAGCAGTTGTTCCGTTGGTTTGTTTAGTTTTAACCGTATGATCGGAGGAATTTATAAATTTAACCAAAGAATCTACGTCTCTTTCTCCTCTGTGACCGTCTATATTTTCAGACATTATAAAATTTTGCTTTCCAATATTTTTTATGTTTCGTTTTATTCTGCGAAGAAGTATATCAAATGTCGTGGAATTTTCTCTAGATGAATAACGGTAAAATGTTGAATTTCGAAGCATGTCTGTAATACACGGAGTTCTTAAACCAAGAGAGTATATAGAATTTTCAATTATATCCATTGTGCCAAACTGTCTATTTTCATCTAATTAAAAAAATTGGTGTTTTAAAAATAAGAATATTAAAGAATTATGAGTTTAAATATATAATTTATTTATGTTTTAAAAGCATTAAGAGGGCCTTTTTAACATCATGTTCATTATGGGTCGGGCCACAATAGAAGCAGCCATTTGGTACAGTACATAACCAGGACAAACAACCACGAAAATTCCTGAAGGTTTTCGATTCCCGTATTTTCAGGGCGGTAAGTTGACATCTTAACTATGTCATCAGACCTAGTAATTAAAGATTTGGTTTGATGAAATACGGCAGTGCGATCTGCCAAGTGGAATGCCACTTGGGAAATATTGCTATGGGAAGCTAATCCCTGTTTAGGTGTTATACACGTCGAAAAACCTGGAAATCTCTACTCCTCGTGGTCAGGTGCGATCGGTGGTTTAAGCCACTGGACTACTGGTATATGGTTATGTACAGATCTAATCAATTATCGTCTACATGTGTTAGAACAGTTTATAAAAATTAATTTAATTTGTTATGTAAGGTTTTAGATAAAACATACCTAAAAGACTTGAACTTTGAAAAATTTCTTGTGAAGAATTTCCTTCTGGTTAAATAGAATTATGAATTGTTAGGTTTTACTTTTTGAAATATTCTGACTAATTAATTAATTCTAACATAAATATAATTAAGAATGTTAGATTATACTTTATTCATTTTCTTTAATTAAATAAAATTAAAAAATTAAATTTAAAATTTCTCTGAATGTTTAAATTTCTAATTGTTCAGAAAATTTTCATGAAGATTTCAAAACTGATTAAGGAAACGAAAATTTAACAGCCATTTGTTGGAATTAGTTAATATCGTGCTGTACGAATTAACGTAAATTTTCAATAAATTTATTTATTTTATATGCGATATTTATTCTCTTTTAATATTTGCATGTTTGCTGACTCTTTTTTAATACAATGTAAATTTCATATTTTTGGTTATAATATCTATTTATTACGAAAACATTGGTTGATCCTAGGTGACAAGCCGCTAACTAAGCAAACTAATTGTCTAGTCTGAATTATGCTATTGATTTACTTGGCTGCTGGTCACTAGAAGCGCCCAATATCATCTATATTACAATATAATTTTTTCAAATTTCCCATTTTGCTAGCACTAAGAGGGGTCATAGCGCCGTTAAAAGTCCTCTAAGTTTTCATTTCAGATAGGAGTGACATGTCAGTGTTGACCTATTATGAATTTTCTGAGCCAACGAAAATCGAACCTGTATCCAACAAAGTGGTAATTTCTCAGAAATGTTTCATAAACGCTTTATTACGACCACCACTTTGTGAGCCTGAACAAATCCACAATGTGTATGATTAAAAATATAGACTTTCTTAGTACCAGTGAAGAGTAAAAAAAAGGTAACAAAAAGACTGGTAATGCGGCTTTTTCGATGATTTCGTACCACTATCTTTTTACAGTTACTCCATCCCCACTACCAGGAGTGGGGGAGCAGCGAACCCTCCACTATCTTGGTGCACCAAAATCCAGTAAACGTAAACTTAAGTAGAATGTTATCGTGTATGTATTAATGCATTGTAGTATATTGCAAAGATGGGAATTGAGGTACCTCACCTCATCATCACCTATTTCATTCTTATTAAAAAGCATTATCAAAAACCAGAGGTTTTAAGAATAATTTTTATAATATTAAAAAATTAAATTAAAAATATATTAAAGAAAGTATAACCTGAATTTTCATTAATCATATTTTTCGTTTTTCTCATCCGTTTTTTTCTTATAATTTTTTTTTTAATTTCACAATATACACCTTTAAATAAATTTCAATTATATATGTTATAAATACACTGAAAAAACTTAATTTAATAAATTGAGATTTCGAATAAAGTTTTAATACGTTTACGAGTAAATATTTTAATTTTATTTATACAAAACGATAACACAAGATTTGTAGAATAAATAAATACAACAACACATGGACCACAGGCCAAGAGGATTACCCTCTTGGAGAAGTTGACCCTTGCTTAGATGTTAGACATGTAAGGAAAATCTGACAAAGATGTTTTTTTTTTTTTTTTTAAATTATTTCCGTCGTATGTCGGAACCACTTGCCCACCAGTGGCCAAGTGGTTCCATTTTCTAAACACTGGGAGTTCGGTCGTGGGTTCGCGTCTCGCCAGGTCGGACTGGCCACGTGGAGTTTTTTCGGTTTTCTCCACGTCTGTATTGCTCGAATAGGGGCCAGTTATCCTTAAAAAAGACCTGACGGAAGGCTCTCCCCTAGGCAAAATGTAATTTAATAAACAAGCGACCATCGTGTGTGACTGAGCCCACGATGAGGACCGAGTGGTGAAAAACGGCTTCAACGTGTTTGAAACAGACTACTGTGGAAAAATTCCTGAGAGATTTTGTCTACCCGGATTCAATTTCAGTTCCCCTATAGAAATAGGTTGCCGTTTTAAGGCCTCATCCACTCAGCCATCATTCACAACTACTATAGTTACATTACAAATTGGAAATAAGAATGTTTCGAAAACACTAGTTCGAGTTGTGTTGAACTTATTACAGTAGATCCCCTATAAAAGCGTTTCCTATAGTTATGATTCCTATAAAAATTGTGGCAACGGTAAAATAACTCCTATAATACGTAAAACGTCATCGGGCAGCCGAACTACTTACCCGCCGTCCGTAGCGCCACGCTACGGAGAGATTTCTATCGTCTGGACAGTATTATATAAATTATATATAAATTAGGTACTGTACATATAATTATATATTAATTATATATAAATTAGGTACTGTATATATAATTATATATTAACTTAATTTATTGTAACTTTATTATAATTAAATATATATTTTTCGCCGTCTAACGTCACGCTACGGCGAGTTAGGCGACCTATCGTCTGTCCAGTACTGTAATTTTATACATTTCTTGTGAAAGAAACATTTCTTATTTAACGGCCATAAAAATTATTTATATTAAGGATGTCTCCAAAGGTCAACGAAGTTTTCGCAGAAAAATAATATCAGAAATCGCGGCCGC